TTGCCTCTTTGGATTATCATCTTAGCAATTTGTTGTTGTGTGCTTCAATTGTCTTTCATAGAATGTGTTTTGTTTATAGTGTATAATATATTAACCGAAAGTTTGCGTTGTTATCATTATTCACAATTTGTTGTTTGCTGTTCGTTTCGTTTCCATCGTATTGTTTCACCGGTTTGTTGATTTTTGTGGTGTGGGTCATAGTGTGTACTCGTTGGGATTATGGTACTGGTTACGCAAAAAAGACTACTGACTCACTCAAGCAGTACGTTGAACGTTCGCTTTTATTGGTATCATTTGTGACAAAATTTTTCCATTTTCGCATTGCAGTTCATTTTTTTGGTCCACTTCACAACATCTTCATTTTATGGTCGAAAAGAGCATCCATCTATCGTGCGACTGTTACATCTCCTTACACATCCATCAACCCCTATAGCAAGGCATCGTTCGAAAAGCTGACAATAATTCAATTGCTCATTGAATTGAGTATATTGCTCACGAATTGCATCGATCGTAATTCGATTCTTTTGCGAGGCAAGTGCAAATGTAATAGATGAAAGTGTTTTGGGAACGTACACTAAATGTTGTTCGAAGCTTTACGACGAACGTGTTGGATGGATGGATGGAAAAGAGCCGAAAAGTTAACTTGTAACAACAACAACAAGCAATCGAAATTTTAGTCTCTAATTTTTGCTAGTGATTAGCGAACGAAGGCCGTGCGTTTATGTATTTGCAGTGGATGCTTGTTGGATTTACTGAGATATTGGATAGTCGCAATGGGATAAGTTTGATGTGAAATGAGGGAAATATCCGAACAGTGGATGTACCGCAATCTCAGCTCGTACATTCTTTATGAATTAACTCATCGTGTATAGAAATGAACTTGATTTTATTCATGTTTCGTTTGGTTTTAACATTTCTATCGATTCAAAAATGCATTTTCAATCGTGCACTCTTTGTAAATCCTCGTGAAAATTTTCCTTTCAAAATCGTCACCGTTGTTCGAATTGTTGATGAATGCTCGAAGTTTTTTATTATGAATTATTCTGTGATTCATGAGCAAATTCACTCATATTCATGTCTCTCATTCATTCCTGTCGTTTTATGCCCGAAACAGGGAAGGTTTTCCAGATTTTCATTGATCACGTTATCAGAAGGAGTCTTTCAAGTTCTCGATTTCACGGCAAGACAACCCATTGATCATTCGTGGATTCAAAATAAATCCGAAGTTTCGCCATTCTCATTTTGAACCGTTACCATCTGCGAATGGTTTACCCATTTTTGCAACAAACCAGATGAAGGTGATCTCTTCCGAAATTCACCTATAATAATGATGGATTCATCACACATTCCATCACAGGAATCCGTTCGATATACGTCCGAGTTATGAATACATTATTTCTTAATTTTAAGCGAATACATTCAAGAATTCACCAGATTAAAACAGTCAATTTCTTATGATTTGAGCGCATTCCGGGCAACAAATTGCGTTATTCTGCAATAGAGTGCTTACAATTTGAGGATGAAATTGCTCAAAAAATGTTCACTTGAATTGCTTTGAGTCATGCACTCAATTTTGATGTGTGCGATATGTATTTGACATTGAACAATTGTAAAGATTGCTCATATTTTTCACTACTTTGGTTCAATTCAATTTTCTCATCGATCAGCATACGTGCGGCCTTACTTGTGATTTGGTTTCACTCTAACGCATAGTTGATTTGATTGTATCGTTGTTGTAAGCGAGGTTTTTTGTGCGTTATTTGTTGACTCATTTCTTCTCTTTAGTTCGATGGTTCCATGCAAAATTTTTGTTTGATATTTGCCATCATGTATTATTTGTGTTATTATATGCAGCACATAAATGCCGATTCGAATTGCTCATGTTTGCTTTTTATTTATTCAATCTCACTAACGAAGATGGCAGATAGCACCACAGCCACTTAGTGTGCTTCTTATAAAAGCTTTCGTTGTCATCTGAACGTTAGTCGTTCAGCATTTTTGGTTAATTACGTTAGCGCACGTAATTGCGATCAGCACTACCGATGCTGAATTAGTCGGATTTTATCAAAACATTTGCTGCAGTCGTTTTGATGAGACGTGACCATCTGAGCATACATGTTACAAATGTGGTTTAAAAAATGGTTTAGAAATCGAACCGAAGAGATATATTCATTATGAATGAGATTTTACAAATTTGCATAAAATGATGCTAATCGCGATGATTTCTGCAGACAAATCAACAAATTTGGTCTTCCATTTCAATATATTTACTATTAGATGGTTAATGGAACAGGCAAAACGTTCCTTTGAGAGAAAACAGAATTGCGATGTGGACAGGGTTGTTATTGCGTATGCATTAGTGCCTTATTTTGACTTGGAGAATTTCGGCATCGCATTCGATATGAATGAAACTTTTGCATTCGATATGAATGCAAAAACTTTGATGTATGAAACATATCGCATCGTTTTCGTTCAGTTACCGTATTGTAGAAAATTATATTGCTGATTTGGAGGTAACTGCTGGAGGAGGAAGGAGCTGAGTGACCGCTGAGTTTCGGATTCGTCATTTTTGTGATTCCGACGAATTTTTGGATTGTTTCGCAAGGATTTGTTAATGGAGTGTACATTGAACGTAGTTTTGGCGACGGGCATTTCGTGCTCATATGTGGGTTTAATATACGCATTCGATTATAATGGTAGCGATCGAAACAATCCACGAAGTATAAAGCGTCGCTTTTTGGGTGCTCTTATGAGCGATTTACTCGGAATAACGGCCACGTATATGGCAATTGGTAGGGTGAGTATTTTTGTAGCGAGTTTTTTTTGAAGTGATTTCATAGATTTAGTCGAGAAACATTTTGCTGTTGTTCAGTGCAATGATGAAAAACTCCTCAACATTTCTGTGTATTTTCTGTCATCTTTTCAATCAGGTTCCTATATAATTGTTAAAAGTTACAAAGTTAATCAATTACAGTTTTATTCATATCG